ACTTAAATAGGTAACCAAAAGTTGCATGTATAGCTAGTTATACTCTCGTTAGTTAAATAATCAGAGAGCTTAAATAGATAATCTCCTAGTTAGGTTGCAAGTATAGTGGCTAGTATAGAACCCAGGTGGACTACTTAAATTAGGTACTAAAAGTACACGTGTGGCTAGTTGTATCCTCATAAAAATTGATATAATATCGTATTTATCTGAATAAGAGCTAAGTGCCGGGGCCTAAGTGGTACCTTAATATTAAAAAAAAATAAAAATAAAAAAAAATAAAAAATAAAAGAATAATATATAAAATATAAATATTAATTTATAATATTAACTAATTAGATAAAAACACAATATGCAAGATTAATTGTGGGATACCAATTCTTAACAAGCAAATCCTTGGCAAGAGCTATCATGTTTTTATTAAATATTTGCTGAAAATTATCTAAGTATTCCTGTGTTTTTCGAACTAGCACTTTAAATTCTTTAGATACTGAATCTATTGACGAGATAGCCTTTTTAATTAGTGTTTCACATATTTTTTTAGTAAAATTTTGCATACATAAAAATAGAAGCTTGCACTGTTCCATTACTAGGTTAATTATAGTATCTTTATCAGTTGGCTCTGAAATATTAACTTTAGTCTAATAAAAGTTTTGAATATATTATAAATTAAGTCAACTTTTTTGACTTTCACTATACTGATCTTTGAACAATCCTTTTTTAGTATAATTAATTAAACAAACCTTATATGGTAAAGACGCTGCTGATAAATTTTGTACTTGAGTAATCAAATCTGGTCGTGTGCGCATAACTAATTAATGAATGATTGCTCATCTAAAAATTTTAACCTTTACGAATTATTATTAGGCTTTGAGTTGTTGTATTATAAAAATTTTCTAGTGAGTATGATGAATGTTGAGATTGCGAATTTTCTTTATAATTATTATAAGAACTTTGTTGCTATGCAGAATCCTTATCTTGATTAGTTAAATAATACAAGTCTGATATATCTTCCAATGACATAGTAGTTGCTCATGATAAACTTTTATGTTGTCGTTGTTCTGGCAAAATAGAATTTCCAGATATCATAGATTTATCTTCAGAATTATTTGTACTATTAAATAATATTGGTAATCTATTGGCATTTTTACATGACGAAAAAGTATTAAAGACTGAGTTTGGATTCATAAAATTTTAATGAATTGGATTATTTAATAGTATATAATCAGAACTATGAATTAATTCTGGATCAATATCATATAATGATCTTGAGTAACTTGCATAACTTGATGAATAATTATTATAATCATAGGTATAATTTGATGAATAATCGTTATGATCATAAAAGCCCTAACTTGTTTGAATTGAACAAGCTCTATTATTAGCTAGTGTTGGTACAGTATTACTTAAATTATTTTGTCTAAATGGAGTACAAGCAAGTTCATTAGGTTTGTCTAAATAAATGCAAATAAGTTATGACAATAAATATTTATTATAATTTATTCTGACAAATAAAGTAGGTTTTATAAAAAAAAAAAAAAAAAGTACCATAAATCATTTTCTTTAAACATTTATTAGATGTCATTTATTGTTCAAAAAGCTCTTCATCAGATGATTCCAAGAGCAATAATAATTAATATATATCAATATTAGGATTTTGTTAATCTTTATAAGTATTTACCAACAATTTTTTTTTTGTTCTTTTGGTATTGGTAGTTTTTCCGCTTCTAGTTTTTGCCATATTTGATAGTAAAAAATTTTTTAAAAGATTTTGTTTTATTTTATTTTATATAACTGATAAGTATACAATTGCATAATATCATTACTAACTAATCAGAATCATGATATGTGTATCACGTGTCAAATCAGAATACTAATATATATTAAATATGTTACACATTACTGTATGAACTATTTTTTGTAACAGTTGAAGCTGAAATTAGTTATAAAAATTGTTAATTTTTTAAAATTCTTGTATAGTTTTTTTTTAATAAAATTAGAGTAAGAGTTAAATGTAAATTTTAGTAGTGACAACTATTAAAATGACAAGTTTGTCACTAATCGATCTAAGACGTCATTTAACCTACGATCAGCTTAGTCGAAGAGAGGCATTTAGATTTGGCAAGTAGTGATTTTTGGATCATAGATATGACTTCTTTTAGCTTATATAAAAGTCTTATACTATGTACTAACACTTATAATTTCTATCCACAATAATATTACAAACTACAGCTAAGGTCTTCCATGTAATCTCAAACTGGAACTTGACAACTTCAGAATCTACAGTCCATTGCGAAACTGGAAAAACAACTACAACTATCTTCAGTCCATCAAGATAGTTGGAAAATAACACCATGGCTATTCATAGTATAACGAGAATTAACCAGACAAAGCTTCAGTATACTTTTCAATATCATGTAAGCAAGAAAACAACAATTATTCTACTTATGCTACTTAAATAGTAGATCAGGATATAAGTATTTATTTATATCTTATATGAGATATAGGATTATTTGAGAATAGATTTTATTTGAATCATGAAGGAATTATTTTTCCTCAAGGGCAAAAGGCCTTTATTATATATTTTCTATTACATATGAACTATTAAAACTGGTTTATCTATTTGATTAAACCACTTTATCTATTATAATCATTTTATCACTTAATTTTATTTTTTATTATTATTTTTTTTTTAATATTAAGGTGACCACTTAGGTCCCTGGCACTTAGCTTTATTCAGGTAATTATGATATTACATCAATTTCACGAGGATACAACTAGCTACACGTGTACTTTTGGTACCTAATTTAAGTAGTCCGCCTGGG